CATACTTCAATATTTTGAAGCAAGACCACTAAAACTGAGTTTTAGCACATCAGGATGTATTTATGATAAGTTTATTAACTAACGATTAATAGATTCATACTGGTTATAGATTATTAGAATATAGCTAGTTGTTTAAAGGCATCCTAAACATATGGCAAACGTGTGTTTAACACTGGAAGTACTGAAGTATGTGTGGGTTGGAAAAAGCCAGTATGCATTCATGTAGTATAACAGCACATGCCAAAATCTCAGCTTTCATTTAATAAAGTAATAAATTTCCTGCTGTGACAGCTCTGAAAAAATCTGGTGGTGTGGGCAGAACGTAGCCAAGGCATAGCTGGCAAAGAGATGTCTGGAACAACAGCTCTGAGGGGCATGAACAGCACCTGCCAGCACCTCATTATCCAATGATGGCTTCAGCATCAACATTTTAAACATACCTTCTCTTACTGGGGGAAAAAGAAAGAGTGGGATGAATGGGCAAATTATTGCAACAATTTTATTTGTCCACCAAAATCAATGAGAGGTTCTACTACTTCCAGCAATCCCAATTAAAAGGCACTCCTGCAAAACTCGACAGAGCCCAAGGGCAAAAGAAAGAGACTCAAATGCAGAGAGGTCTCTGAAGTCCAGGGAGACAGAGTCCTGCTCTGAGCACTGCATGCTGTGCTGAGAGCAGCATCTTCTTTGATCATGCAGCCAGGACTTGGGAACCTTTAGAAGGGCACAGCTCTGTGCTGTTCCCCTGACTAGACCCTGTTGACAGCACATACTGTTCTTAATCAGAAACACAGTAATATCTATTAGGTATTTATTAACTCTTCATAAATTAGTATACGCACTCCTCACGTGATATGATCTTAGTGTGTATATATACATGTCTGTGTGTAGCTGCAATGTTTGCATTTATTTAGCAGCGAGTAAATTCTTTTTTTTATTTCAGTGTAAACTAGATCATGACCATTGTCATGACTTGGCCAGCTTGGGTCAGAGCCGTGCTGGGCAAGCATGTTATATTCATAGGAATCTTTCGGCTGCCTCTCCCTGAGGCTGGCATTGCACAAGGTGTTTTTGAGCATCTATCTGCTTTTCCATACCCTTTGGTTTCAAAGTTAAAAAAGGGCTTCAAAGTTAAAACAGGAGATATGGCACTTATTCGTGGCAATCAGTGCACTGTTTGAAAGCAACCTGTGAAAAGAAACCTCCATGAAAGCAGTTTATCCCAGCTGAACTCAAAACAGAAATAGGAATTTCAGATGAGATGTAAGAACAAGGGGGAACTTTATGCTACAGCCAGCTCGAGTATTAAACACATTTCGTAAGCAAGGAGTAGAGCCAACCCTATTGCTACGCTTTTATAAAACTGACCTCAGCCAGTCCCTCCTGAGATGTGTCTATGTGACTTGCTCTCAGAGCTGCTGAAGAGAATCTCTTGAAGCTTCCTGTTAAGTTCTTTAGAAGAGACATGGCACAAACTGGACTTCTGATTTTTCTCCTTATAAGTATACTACTGCTGGATGAGACCATCAGCCAGGCTTCCAAATTCAAAGCCAGGAAGCACAGCAAACGTAGAGTGAAAGGTACTGGGTTTTAACTGGGAGGAGGGATAGAAGCTTATAGACTATACAAGGTTGCTATGTACTCAAATCACATTGCATGAACCAGAAATTAACATTATACAAATGCTTATTAACATGGGACAGTTGAGTCTATATTGTATCTGTCTTGAAAATATTTCTATGCGAGTTAGCAAAGCTAAAAATAAGGTGGCAGAATGAGTTATGGAAGTAGAGCTGCATAACAGTTGTAAATATATTGCTCTCTAATGCCTATTCGTCTCTGTTGACATTAATTAGGACTCAGAGGTACCACAGAGGATTCTGGCTGATCATTCTTACATGTGTAGCTACATTGACTAGGATTAGAAGAATGGAAATTCATGTACACATGGTGGAAAAAAAGCAGAATAATATTCAGTCTCCAAGGGTTATTTTTCAGATTTTTGTCCCATTTCCTAATTTTAACAGAATGTCTGTCTAATATTTGTGGAATATTACTCGTGTGACAAGTACTGTGAAATGGCAAGTCAAACTAATGAAAAAGAATTAACAGAGCAAGATAAAGCATAAATTCCCAGAACAAAGCTTACAGAGCAAATAAAAAAAAAGCTGACTGTTGTTTGGAAATGTCTGTGTATTTAAAGATTTATTTCTAATAAAAGAGAGTATGACGGAGGTTACACTAATGTCAAATATTTAAACTTCTAGTCAATCAAAAAAAATGCAGCTTTGATAAAGCCATTGTACAAGATGATTACACAGCTCTCTGGAGCTATACAGTTATAGGTACTTCACCTCTTGAATCTCTATAGTTTTTAGCCTGGTGTCCTAAGGACAGGCTGCTTATATACTTGATTTGTCACCAGATTTGTCTGTCAACCTTCTACTACTTTTGAACTTGAAACACTTTCACAGAAGAATGGAGCTCCTGAGGATATTTCCCAGCATTTTTTGAAATTCAGAATGCAGGTGCTAAAAAAACAAACCAAACCAAAAACCAAACCCAGCAGAAAAAACACAGTCCAAAACTTACATTAGTGACCCACTATGAAAACACTGTACAAAGGAGATTCAGCTTGTTCTGCTTTTGCCTCTTGAAGCAGACGAGGACATGGAGAGGCTACTGTGGACTGGGAATTGCACAGAGGAGCACCGACTGAGGAACTGGGAATCCTGCCTTGGGGAACTAGGGACTCCCAAAGGACAGCTGGGGTCACCCCACTAGGAATAGGGAATACAGAGATGAGCTCTCCAGGGTGCAGCTGCGGGATTAGGTGATGTAACACAGATCTGTGGGAACTGTGGTTTTGTTGGTTCTGCTACATGTGAAAGAGCTTATTTATTCCTTATGTTCATTACTGTGGCTTCTGGAAGGTCTGGTTACTTCTGCAATCAAATTGGCATCCTATGCAATGGAGACACACCTGTTAGTTGTTCGATGGTCGTGGAATGTTATCTTAAGAAAAAAGAATAGAAAAGAGGACATGAAAATGGAGTTATATGCAAAATAGCTTCTTTTCTTGGCTCCCCATCTTCTTGGTGCTTCTCTAAATGCTACAACATGGTGATTCAGACTGAATTTGTGTAACTCAAGTAACCAGGCCCTCTCTGTATTGAGAGAGGAAAGCTTCTCCTGGGGAGGGGAAACTGCAGCTGAGCAAACTTTTCTGCATACATTGAGTCTGTGAAGTTGTATTACATTAGTTGTTTGTCACTGTGTTAAAACAAGAGTTGTGTGAAACTTTCATTCTCACAGAAATGATATTGCTTTGAATAACACAACTTGTGTCCTGCTGTTATTTGTATGTCATATAACTACACACTATGATGTACAAGTTCAAAAGTAAACAGGCAAATATTGCTGTAAATTAGATACTGGCATGCTAAATAACAATTAGCTGCAATAATCCATGGTTTCCAAACAAGTACTAAGATACAGTGTAACTGAAAATGAGATTCAAACTATGATGGTGAAAGATAGGTTCCTCCTGTTTTTTATAGAACCCTTACAGAAATCCTTTCATTTAGGAAAAATCTTTAAAAGAAATCTAAACATGTCTCAGAAATGCAGAAACTCATGATATTCTGAAACAGCTGTTAACATATAATTTTTAAATTACTTGTTGTGTGTGTGTGTGCCTATCTGTTAATTTCTCTATATTTCTTTTATCTAAAGAAAAAGATGACCTAAAGACCCAGATTGACAAATTGTGGCGAGAAGTAAATGCTCTGAAAGAGATGCAAGCACTTCAGACAGGTAAAGCAGCTTATACCAGGCAATGGCTTCCAAAAGTTTTCACTGCCTTTCCTCTCTCCACTCCCATCCTTCTCTTTAGTGGGGATTTGTGACTGAGAAATACAACTGCTTAAGAGTATGGTATGCCATGGCTGTAATGGCAAGACCAATGTTCAAGGAAGTATTTAAGTAAAATCAAGTCTGAACTAATGGCGTACCAGTGACGATTCTTCACTAAGAGCAAGAATTAGTCTGGAGCAAGAGCTGCTTTTGCTTTTGCTATGCATAACCCCAAACTGTGATTTCAGGTATAATCAAAGGCAACACAATGAAGGCTGCTGGGTTTGAGAGTTTAGATGGTCAATGAGTTGGGTTTGCCAGTGTTGATATGAACCTAGGCTAACAATCAGGACAAGAATGTTCACGGAAAAGGCTGAGAATACCCCCAAAAGGAAGCTAAAATAACTGGGCCTTTTTAAAGTGTGCGGTTTGTGACATTCAAATGTGAATGTTGCCATAAAACTTCAAAGTAATACCCCCTGTGAGTTCAGAAATATCCCATATCAATGTGTAGAGCGCTTTAAGTATTTAAATAGCCAGATGGAAATTTCCAAACAAAATAAGAAGGGTAAATACACACGCACCTTCTAGACAGTTGTGCTTTTTCACAGCTGTTGACACAAAACTTGGGCTTTAAACACGTACAAGAGGACACTACAGAGGAAATGACATCATTTACATGAAACAGAACATATTTTCCTTAGGGATGGTAATATCTGGGTTGTCCTGTTTTACATCTTGGGTTACACACAGCTTTGAGCAATGCAAAATATTTTACTTTAAATTTCTCATAAGTCTTTGGAAGTTCTTTAAAAAAGGGCGCCTGTGCTAGACAAGTAACTCTTGTTTAAAAGTAATTCTTGTATTGCATCCAGAAGGAGCTTGAGAGTAAGCATGCGGTGGCTTAGAAATGAAACCAGAGCCAGGAGATTTTCTATCCTCAAAACTTATTTTGAGCTATATTCTAAATTCAGAACCCACACTATTCAACTGGATTCCAAATTTGGCAAAAAGAGATCTATCACCCCTCTCGCTCTGAGTGCATTTATTAATGGCCTTATGATATTTGAAAAAGCAGCTGCTTTTTTAGCTTATGGATATTTCCAAGGCACACATTACAATCGGATTGCTGCTTTTGCTTGAATTTCCTGGGTTTCCTTTCTGTTGCCACACACCATTTAGCAGCACATACTTTCTCCCCAAGTCTCCATCATTACTGCAGCATGGTTGAAGTAGATAAGGTCTCTCTGTTCTTTCCCACAAATATATGTTTGTTAAATAATTCATTACTTCGGCCATTAGCAGTTGGGAACAATAAAATTTAAAGAATAAGCCTTAATATAAAATGATGACCCTGAAAATGCAGCTAAGGAATGCAATGGATACTACAACTGGAAATACTACAAAACTGAGACATGTAGGATACGGTCCAAAGTGGATTTCCATATCCTGTTGATCAGATACAAAATTACATTTTTTACAAGAACAGATGACAGGAATTAGATTATAGAAAACATCAGGACAGAAGATGTTCATATTGTTTCACAACATGCTTCTAATATAAGTACAAGATGAGTTTCAGTAATATATGAAGTAATCTGGAAGCAGTCACATGCAGGATTCTAAAATAATTGCTACAGGAGTTTATTCAAGGCCTTTGCAATCTCCCTCAGCTAAAAAGGAATACTCCTTCAAGTGGGGATCTCTTAATTATTTTTCTTGAGAGAATCAGTTTTTCACATATCTGCATTAAGAGATATGGGAAGCAAAGCTTAAGGATTCACTCCTGCAAGCCTGCCCACACAGACCTTGGGCTGGAAGAGCTCTCGACAGCAGTTCTGCAAGGCAATTCCAGTTACAGAGCACATGCCAAATTAATGTTCTAGTACATTTGGACTTTACATCAAGACTTCTCTGATGTGTTCCAGTAAAAACTAAAAGAAAACAGATTTATAAACGCAAATGTTTAGATTATTTGGTTCAGATTGTCATGCAAACTTAGTGTACAATTTTTGAGAAAGCATTTATGGATTTAAATCACTTTACCTCAGTTGAATACATTTTGTTGGAAAGCAGAAATTAAGAACTAAAGAGGCGCGTGTGTACTCTTCTGCAGCTGGACATATACTTTGAGCAATCATCCAGATAGATTTACATTGTGAATTTCAAATCAATATTTTTCTGGTGAGCAGAAAACATCTGAAGTAGCACCTTTCTGTCCTGCTTTTGTTTGCTAGGAACTAGGCTTTGTTAATGCATAAAAGTTTACTTTTCTGTGGCACTTAAATATTGTAAATACGAGAAGACCTTTAGATCTGCCTCTTTACTATAAAGCCGGCTATAGATTTCCTGATGACCAGCTCGCATTTGCCAATAATACAAACATCCATATCTTATCCATTCCATCAGTTTTAAAAGTGATAAAATAAGGTAAAACTGTGTGAAAGCAGGACTATTTGCCAAAAGAAGACAAGATACACTGACAACAGGCCTCGATTATAATTTAGCATTTTGAAACCGCAAAATAAAATAATCTCTGAGAGAATTACATTGCTGGGGGGAATCTAGGGCTCAAGATCATGCCTAAGGTTTATCACCATAAACACAGGAAAGATTCTCCAAAGCACCGTATGATGTCAAGATCACAGCTCTGTCTGTCCATCCTCTTAAGTGCCGCTTCTCGGGAGCAGCTATAAGAGTATGCTCTGCTTTAGGCCATACCTGTAGCTCAAGGTGCTTTGCAGAGTGCCTGTGAGCAGTCTGTTTGGAGCTCCCAAAGGCATACTAACATGCTGGCTGCATACAAAGTCCTACATGAACAGAGAAACAGCAGAAAGTCTGACCCTGCTACATTCAGGCCCACTCTGTGGAGACAAGAGCCTTTCACTGGCTGAGGGACTTGTCTCATTAATTCCCAGCGTACCTTTAGAAAAACTACCATTTTGGGAAACATTATTCAGAGCTGTAGTCTAAGCTTTTACTGAATGTGCAAACCAATATCTATTCACAGTTTGCCTTCGTGGGACAAAGGCGCATAAGAAGTGCTATCTCATATCAGAAGGCACTAAACATTATCATGAAGCCAATGAAGACTGCATAGCCAGGGGAGGGACACTGGCTATCCCAAGGAATAACGACGAAACAAACACTCTTCGAGATTATGGCAAGAAAAGTATGCCTAGAGTGTCTGAGTTTTGGCTGGGTGTCAATGACATGACAAATGAAGGGAAATTTGTTGATGTTAATGGTATGGCTCTACAGTACTTCAACTGGGATCGCGCCCAACCAAATGGAGGGAAGCGTGAAAACTGTGTCTTCTTTTCTCAGTCATCACAAGGAAAGTGGGTGGATGAAGTCTGCCGTACTGCCAAAAGATATATTTGTGAATTTCTGATCCCATAACTACATATACAAATGACATGACCATGTAATGGGTTATTAACTATTTTGCTATTTTGCTTGTTTGTAACCCCTCCCACTTAGACAGTGGCGAGTTAAAAATATCCATTTCCTGCATTGTACTCACTTTTTCCAGAAACAGAAGTTTTCTCTATTAATTTATTTTTCATTCAGATGCTAAAAATATTATCTTTAGTGAGTGATCTCATTAGGTACAGGAACATGCATTATATTTTGACCTAGATTGTATCATATTTCAGCATATTGTTTCAGGCTGATGTTCGAGTTGCTGGAATTCACCTCGACCTTCTGTACTTTGTGTCTCCATGGTACAATAGTATTTATTTAAACTCAGAACTCTAGTGAATTTATTGAAAGTTTACTGAAGTTTGCTGTATGGTAACGTGCCAATATGAAGTGTAGGGATCCTCTCAGTTTCAGTGCTTATGTGTTATTTTGGGATTATGTGAGCTCCTGTGAAAAATGGCCACCATCCTTACAGAGTTTAACAGGATGCATCTGTGCCCAAGAGTTTTACCTATGGGCTAATAAAGCCAAAAGAAACAAATAATCTGATGTTAATTTTTAAACTACATGGAGTCAAAAGTGACACACTGCTAGAAAAGAGGGGAAGCAGCTGTTCTAAAGCATCAGTTAGTCTAAACACATTTGTTTCTAAATGTCTCAATTATGGTTAAATATTAGATGTCATTTGGAACATTCCCATAGAAGGAACCAACCTGGGACTAGATCATTCCTCTACTGTGTAATGCCTTAGTAAGACATGCAGAAGCCTTCTCCTGCAGGATCAGAAAGAGGATTTATAATTCAGACAGTAACACTGCCTGAAAGGACAAGTAGAGAGGAAGGATCCCCTTTCTGGGCACATCATCACCGCTCATTCACCTCTCTCCACTTGGCAGAGAGCACACATGATGGGCACGAAAGAATGAAGCCAAACCGTGGCTCATTTCACCACATGCAAATTTTCCCACTTTTAACACTTGACATTTGAAAAATCAAGTAAAATACACTGGTGGTTTTGTGCTGTTCTTCAGCTCACAATTGAGGTGTGCCTTCATGTTACAAATAGCACTTTCTGTCTTGTGTAAAGGAATTTCATTTGAATCTTTAAATATACTGCTGCTTGGAGGCTAATTCCTACTTTTTATCTTCTACTTGTGCGTGATTTTCTTAAATTATGCAATAAATCTGTGATTGCTGGCATTTCATTGTAGTAGTATTTTTGACAGCTTATGCATCCATGCAAAGACCACAACGTTCCTAGGACTGTTCTTAAGGATTCAAAAGGGGTACCATCTTTGGGGGGTACTGTCTTTGGACACATCATATTCTACTTCTTTACTAGTTTATCTACATGCCAAGGGACAAAATTTGGATCCCTGTCTAAGTACTGTTTGAGATGCAGCTGTTCAGTGTCCCATTGCAATTGCTGTAATTAATTTTCCAACAATTTGGCCTATTTTACAAATACGTTGATTCTGAATGCTCTTACTTAGCTCTTGAGTTAAAATAAAGCAGCAAAAAGTCCCTAAATTCTCCAATTTTCTTTCAAAATCTACCACACTTTGCTAAAGTTGCAATCAATATTCCTGTAACCTACATTTTAATATGATTAAAAGTCTGTAGTAATGGCTTCTTCACCTCTGGCTTGTTTGAAGGAGGTCAGTATCTCAGCATATCCCTACAGCTACAGTCAAATTGAAAATCCACCACAAAATCCAGGACTAGTTTACCTTTGAGGCGTTTATAAATTTATTTCCTACTCAATCTACTTCAGCCCTGTTTCTCAGGTTGTACACAGGAACTGAAAACATTTCTACGTATGACTGGTGGATGTTTATCAGCCAGTGGATACAGATACCAGCGACAGAAATCAGTATTTGTTTAGTAGTGATCTACTGCACAAAGACAAGGCCCACATACAGAAATCAGTAACCAGGTTGAAGATTCCCAGCAGAACGCTCAGTTAAGAAATAACAAAGGAATATAAAGCAAACAGGAAAAATGTCAGGGGAAAACTCAGGTGGATTGATCTGGAGAGGAGATGGCAGAAGGATAAAAAACATCTCCAGAAATACCTGCAATGGGAGCAAGACAGTCAGAAAATGAAGCAGAAACACAGCAGAGATACAGTCATTTTCCTGTCAAATTAACTGCTATCTTTCCTCTCAATGACCAAATGCGCCTATGCTAAGAGAGCTCAGAGGAGTACTTGCTGCACCAGTTCTTGCCTGCAGACCTTCCCTCCTTCCCTTTCCTGTCACCTGAGAAACCTGTGGTATTACAGCTCAGCTTTTCCATTCAAGCAGGTTAAACTCCCTTCTCTACACTACTCTCCCGCTATTCGTTTCTGAAATCCTCTGAGGTCTCCCTGTGACGTTTTCCCTTCAAATTCCAACTCTAGGTTCCCAGTCGGGTGACCGGGCATTCAACGGGAAACGCGATAGCAACTTTTCGACACGTTACTGCTAAACGAACAACAGAAAAAGATCCAACACTCACACCTAGTGGCGTAAGAGAAGAATGCAGAGTTTACGAAGTTTGAAGTGACACTTCGATGCTATTACTGTAACAAATACTGCTTCTAGTTGCTTGCTAAAGGAAAAAGGTACAATGTAACACGTCCAAACATCTACTAGCATCTTCGCAAGAAAACAGAAAATAAGTTTTTTTAAAAGACCTTAGACTAATTTTCAAAAGCACTTAACATTCAACTGCTAAAGCTTAGCTGTACTACTGAGTTACCCTCCTTGGTCTGCTCCTGAAAGGAAAGTTCTGATATTAGCCAAGAGGTGCTCAGAGGCATGTCCTAAGCTTCTCAAACTGCACAACAGAGCCCAAGATTTACTGGTTTGTCCCTGACCTTCATTAGAGAGCTTAGTGGTGAGTATAAAGTCCAGAGCAGAGCAGTTTGGAGTGGGAGTTACAATTCAAGGCTGAGCCCAGAACTGGCCTTACACACAAGAAGGTGTATTTAGTTGTATTTTAAACTTTTTCATCTCTTGCTCTTGACTTCTATGCCTTCCATTTATTTTTTCCATATACTCTTTTCCATAATCTTTATGCATACACATTAACCCCCTGGGAAGGAAAATTTTCTAGGAGCATACAAATATGCTACTGTAGCCAGGTCTATAACTTAAAAGACTTTAAATATTATTCTTGAGTACTCACTGTAGTACCATTGCAGAATTCAACCTTGATAAACTTCTATATTCATCAGCAATATCCAGTACCTCATAGGGCACTCAGGGTTTCCAAGGCACTGATGTTGTCCTGGTAAGCTCAGGCCAATTATGAAGTCGTCACAGGGTCATATGATTTGCCTGAACCACACACTGCAACTGCCTAGGTTTGGGTAACTGCTGAAGGACAGCAACTGTATCTGTGAGCAACATGAAACAAGCTCAGAGAGACTTACATTTGAACAGCAACAAGTAGAGAGGACTTCTCTGTAGGGGCAAAAAGCCTTACTTAGAACCTTTGCTTATATTTAAGCTCAGCTCAAGGTTGTTAGCCTACATCAAGTGCCCATCCCCACCTGAATGCTGGGATTGCAGTGAAGAGTCTTCAGCTGTGCTTGAGGCACAGGTTGTCTGCTGGATTAATGTGTGCTGTGGATTTCAGCAGTAGAAGTTTTAGAAATGGAAAATGGCCAAGTGTTTATAACTAAAACGAACTGGAAATCCGTTAAAATGGATAGTATTTAATAAAATTAAAAGCCATCTCTCTCTCTTAAGTTTAAAAAAATAAAATAAAAATTAGCTTTTCCAAAGATACTTAACTTCCTCAGTGTCACAGCGGCATTTCTCTTTGCTCTAATAAAGAACTACTTATTTGTCCATGTAATCGTACTTATTTTGTAAAAATACAGTGTACATCCGTAGGGGAAATGGAACAAAAACCTCATTAGAATATGACCCAAGGTTCTTTAAAGCGAATTGAAAGAATCCTGC